CCGTGCGTCACATGGTATTTGATGCTGGGTGGGGACAGAGTGGCCACGGGACCCCTTTCCTCATGGATTTTTATGGCTCCGTGAAGACACTGAAAAACAGGAGTCACAATGAACTCCGGTGAGTGTTAAATAAGACAGAAGTCCAGATGTAACGAGGAGGGGTGCTGATTACAGATGCAGATTCCTGGGCCCTACCCAAACCCTAGGAATCAAAATCTTCTCAGAAGCACCCCTTAAGTTTTTTTTTTAGATTTTATTTATTTATTTGACAGAGAGAGACAGAGAGAGCACAAGTAGGCAGAGTGGCAGGCAGATGGAGAGGGAGAAACAGGCTCTCCGCTGAGCAGGGAGCCGGATGTGGGGCTCGATCCCAAGACGCCAAGATCATGACCTGAGCCGAAGGCAGCCGTTCAACGGACTGAGCCACCCGGGCTTCCCTTAAATTTTTTTCATTAGCGATCTTCATCAGGCACGTTCAGAAAACACGACGATCGGGAGTGCGCAGGACACTACGGGAACTCATCCCTACAGGAGATCATCAGCAACAGGTGGTCTAAGGTGAAGTATGTCCAGGATAACTGGGTGTAAGCAGTTAAGAGTATGGGCTCTGGAGTCTCACCAACAGGTTCACATCCAAGCATCACTACCAAGAATGGAAATAATCATAATAATAATGTCTTAGGATCGTTGTGAGGATTAAGGGAGATAATCCTGTGATATTAATGCATATAGAGCAGCACAGTTATAGAACCGGGAGGTGAATCACGAATTATAAGAGGTGGTCTACATGGGTCCCACCTGGAATAATGTAATAAATAATTATCAAAAAAAAAAAAGTAGTTCCGTGTCTTCTGTAAAAAGCAAAATAAGGAGAGAACACTGGGTAGGGAAAAATCCAGACCACGTGTAATCAACAGGGAAGTCTTTCACATGAGAGATGGTATTTGTCCTGATCCAAGAGGGTAGACATGATTTAGAAGCGGGGCGGAATGAGAAGGAAATGCAAAGAAAGCAAAGGCTTGGGGCTGCTCACAGTTTATAGGAAGGCAAGGCCTGTCACTGACTAGCTAGGCACTTCTGCGTAGGTTAGTCAGTTATCGTGGGCCTAAGTTTATTTCCCTGTGACACTGGGGTTTTGTGACTTATAGTCACAGTTTTATGTATATTCTATTGCCTCATCTTCAGAGTCCACTCTAGTTTAAAAATTCTGAGGGGAACTGCAATACACAGAGGGTCCACGAGGTGGCAGCGCGTGGCTTTGTAGATGGAGGTCTTCCTCAGGGGACCTATGACGTAACCCTGTCATAATCAAACAAGCAGGTATCTAAGTCTCTCCGGAAAACACAGACAGAAGACATTAACAATCCTCATACTGAGCTCAGTGTTGAGATTTATAGTTTAAAGAGAAAGCAGATGTTTTTAATCCCTTTGTTTTAGGGGCGCCTGGGTGGCTCAGTTGGTTGAGTGTCTGACTCTTGATTTCGGCTCAGGTCAGGATCTCAGCCCATCGGGCTCCGGGCTGAGTGTGGAGTCTGCTTGAGATCCTCTCCCTCTCCCTCTGCCCCTCCGCTTGCACTCTCTCTCCCCCCCCCTCAAATAAATAAATAAATAAATAATCCCTTTGTTTTAGACGCATAGGTGGTAAAGGGTTATTGTTGGACGTTTTGTTTTAACCCTTTACGGCCAGGGTGGCTTCTTTCATAACAATGAACTAAACACAGACGTATTTGCATGGGGTCCAATTCTGATTTGAGCCAATACAAAACCCAAAGACCCTTACCCTCAGTAAAGCGTACCAAGTCAATCGTTTGTAAACGTTTTATTCTTTTTAAGATTTTATTTATTTATTTGAGAGAGAGAGCATGAGTGAGGGGAGGGGTTGGGGAGAGGGGAAGGAGACACCCTGCTGAGCAGAGGCCCGATGTGGGGCTCGATCCCAGGACCCTGGGACCACGACCTGAGCCGAAAGCAGACGCTCAACTGTCTGAGCCACCCAGGCGCCCTTGTAAATGTTTTCATCATAAAGAGCCCACATACCCCACCATACACCTCCAATAAAAAGGAAAAGGAGAAAAGTTCTATTTCCTTTACAGCGTGGTATATTTTTTTAAATGGTGTCAACAGTATCATTTTTTATAGTCAAAGTAAACTCTCCTTATTTTTTTTAAAGTTATGACTATTCAAAAAATTTTAAGGAAGAAAATGAAAATCATCTTCAAGCAATAACAGTATGTTTCTGTCAAACTATTTTTGGTAGATGGAAAAGAAACACAGATGCATCTACACACCTTTTCTAGTTTAAAAATATTGTGGAATCTTTCCATGTTAATAAAAATATTATTATATTAATGATCAGTAGCATCCATTCATTATGATCACTAGCAACCTACTTTTACTGAAATGTCTGGCCTTTCCTGACAACACTATTCTCCGTGAAGTCGACAGAAATAGAGCCATGGAAAGATGGGTAATAATCAGAGAGGGACAGATGCAGACAAAATAAGGAGGACAACAGAACGTAACAGAACTAACAAATGAGCTGATGAAAAATACATTTCAGAAAAATTTGGCCAGGAGCAGATTAGTCCAACCAACACTGAGGCAATGACCTGAAAACAGTAAAGGAATATATGATCTCTCTGAAGCAAGAGCTCAAGGAAGGGAGCAAAAGGAACCCCTTCAAGGCAAGCTGAGTATTTTCTAGAAGTCAATGACTTTGCAGTGTCAGGCTCAGCCAGACATGATGGAAGACAGGGAAAAGTCAGTGAGGCAAAGCAGAGTCAAAGAACAGCTTTTCTTAAGAATCCAGGAAATAGGGAGGCGCCTGGGTGGCTCAGTCGGTTAAGCGTCTGCCTTCAGCTCAGGTCATGGTCCCAGGGTCCTGGGATCGAGTCCCACATCGGGCTCCCTGCTCAGCGGGAAGCCTGTTTCTCCCTCTCCCACTCCCCCTGCTTGTGTTTCCTCTCTCACTGTGTCTCTCTCTGTCGAATAAATAAATAAAATCTTAAAAAAAAAAAAAAAAAGAATCCAGGAAATAGGGAAATCTATCAAGACACAAAGTAGATTATTGTTTGCTTAGGGCCAGGACGGAGATAGAGACAGAGGGATGGAGTCGAATGCTTTAGGATATGGGGTTTCTTTTCAAGGTGATGAAAATGTTCCTAAGTTGACTGTGGTGATGACTGCATATATAGGTAAGTATACCCAATACCATGGAAATGTACACTTTAAATAGATGAATTGTATGGTCTGTGAATTATATCTCAAAGCTGTTTGTAAAAAAAAAAAAAAAAAGGAGTGGGAGGGGGCACCTGGGTGGTCCAGTCAACTGAGCATCCGACTCTTGGTTTCGAATCAGGTCATGATCTCAAGGTCATGAGATCAAGCCCCATGTCAGGCTCTGCACTCAGCATGGAGTCTACTTCAGATTGTCTCTCCCTCTCCCTCCCACTCACTCACTCTCTCCCCCTAAGTAAATAAAATCTAAAAAAAAATAAAAATAAAATTAAAATTAAAAAAGGAGGGGGAGAAGCCAGGTAAAAGGTGCTCCAACAAGTCCCAAGCCCAGGCAAGAACATGAGATTCACACTCAAGAGCAATCCAAGATGAGGTTTGCCAGGGGTTGATGTAATCAATTCTTTTCTTTTTAAGATTTTATTTAATTATTTGAGAGAGTGAGTGAATGAGAGAGAGAAAGCACAAGCAGGGGGAGGGGCAGAGGGAGGATTTCCGCTGAGCAGGGAGCCCAATGTGGGACTCGATCCCAGGACCCTGAGATCATGACCTGAGTCGAAGGCAGACACTTAACCGACTGAGCCACCCAGGTGCCCGATGTAATTAATTCTTGTATCATAAAAATCTTCTTATCTCCAGAATGGCCACCAAGAGACTGCTCTTCTCTTAGGCCAAGCAACTGCATGTCCATCAAAAACATTTATTTCTTAAAGGCAAGGGCAGTAAGAAAAATGTTCAAGTTTTTACTGGTTAAAAAAAATTCCATGGGTTTCAGTTTGACCTAGACTAGTATCACGAACAAGGCCATAGTATCAGTTTTTAAAACACGCAAATCAATAGAATGCATAATACACCGTTTGCTAAGAGACTTATACTGAATTCAGTATAACTGAACCCCCGGCGCAGGCCAGGGCCCACAGTGAACCCCCCATGAGAGGAGCCCTGCTCTCTGAGGTGGACGGCGCAGGCCGGGACCCACACTGAACCCCCCATGAGAGGAACCCCGCTCTCTGAGGTGGACGGCGCAGGCCGGGGCCCACAGTGAACCCCCCATGAGAGGAACCCCGCTCTCTGAGGTGGACAGCGCAGGCCGGGGCACACACTGAACCCCCCATGAGAGGAACCCTGCTCTCTGAGGTGGACAGCACAGGCCGGGACTCACAGTGAACCCCCCATGAGAGGAACCCCGCTCTCTGAGGTGGACGGTGCAGGCCGGGACTCACAGTGAACCCCCCAGGAGAGGAGCCCTGCTCTCTGAGGTGGACGGCGCAGGCCGGGGCACACACTGAACCTCCCATGAGAGGAACCCCGCTCTCTGAGGTGGACGGCGCAGGCCGGGGCCCACAGTGAATCCCCCATGAGAGGAACCCCACTCTCAGGTGGACAGCACAGGCCGGGACTCACAGTGAACCCCCCATGAGAGGAACCCTGCTCTCTGAGGTGGACGGTGCAGGCCAGGGCACACAGTGAATCCCCCATGAGAGGAACCCCGCTCTCTGAGGTGGACGGCGCAGGCCGGGGCCCACAGTGAATCCCCCATGAGAGGAACCCCGCTCTCAAGTGGACGGCGCAGGCCGGGACTCACAGTGAACCCCCCATGAGAGGAACCCCGCTCTCTGAGGTGGACAGCGCAGGCCAGGGCACACAGTGAATCCCCCATGAGAGGAACCCCACTCTCTGAGGTGGACGGCACAGGCCGGGGCCCATAGTGAACCCCCCACGAGAGGAACCCCGCTCTCAGGTGGACGGCGCAGGCCGGGACTCACAGTTTGCGACGTCACCTTGAAGCTGCAGAATCTGAGGAACTGGCATCGTGAGGACAACAATGTCAAACAGCTCGGGGGGACCTTTTTCCTTGGAGACTTCCCACTTGTCATTTCGCAGGTTGATCTGGGTCACACAGTGTCTGAAGTAGACATCAGCACCTGTTCCAAAAGCAAAGTCATGTTCACATAATCAGGATTTCCAATATGAACGAGGAGAAACAGAAGAGTCACACACTGAATCCATTCAGGCGAATTAAACAGTGAAGTCTCTCTTCTAGGGGTTCCCTTTCTCATTTTGTAGAAATTCCTCTCCTTCTGGCACCTGGGACCTTGGGATCGATGCCCACCCCTGGGTACAAAACCCTACTGCTACAATCAATACTAGGAATCCCAGCTGTCTTTCATTAAGCAGCTACTATATACCAAGACTATAATAAGTACTTGATATACATAGTATCAATTAATTTCACAAACAAGGAAACAAATTCAGAAATGTCACTCCATGATATAAAACTATATCCACCCGAATCTAAAGCTCACGACCTTTGTAGAGCAGGAATACACTTTAGTGAAGGTGTTAACAATTCTAGAAATAGCGAGAAGAGCCATATTCCCCTATTAAAGAAATTAAGATTCCCTCTTAAACCTGAAAAAGGGGTCTGTGAAAGAAATCCTAGCCCTCGTTGGTGGATTAGTTACCCTCATTAAGAACAGGAATTAGGAGAAATACAATCGAGAATGTCCTCTCATTGCATTTTTCTTCTTTATCACCAAAATATCTTAGTAATTACTTGAGTAGTTATTTGATTAATATTTTCTTCCCTATTAATCTGTGAGCCCACAGGGAAGGAACTATGCCTGTTTTGTTTCTGTGAATACCGTATCGCATATACAGTAGAGTACTCAGCACATACCAGGGATTTAATAAGTACCTGTTGAAGAGAATGAATCAGGAACCGTAAACCAAAAGATAAGAAAATATAACTGGATCACTAAGTCTCCTTGGGACCAAGCACTTACCACACATTTCAATTTTCAGAAAACTTAATTTAAAAACAAATCTACTTTTATGCAGCCTCAGGAACAGAAAAGCAAGAAATAATAAAGAAGAAGATAATAAATAATAAAATAGCACGTTGGAAGATCCTGTTCATCATTACCGGGGACACCTCATGATCCTAGCCACTCAAAATCCGGCTTACGTCCACCCTGGGCCCTGAAGTTTCCTTCCTGCGGGTCCCCCAGCTCAGTGTGATGCTCCTTACCTATGAGGTCCCTCCACCATCATTCTGACATTGATTCAAAATATCTGCATGTTTCAGGTATGTCTTATCTATCTGAAAAACCCACTTCTTCTATGTCATGTCTCCAGAGCCCAGACACCTTCACTGTCCCTGGAATAATGCTGCAACAACATTGTAAACATTCACATTTTTTAAATCAAAGGCAAATATATTAGAAGGAACAAGGTGCTAACTAGGCCCAGGGGTCCATCTCTTTCAGGCCAACTAGCATCGTTCTGTTCATAGATGAGAGCAAGGGCTAGTAAACAGCCTCCAACCTGCCTGAGGCTTTCCCTAAGGCCCCTGCTTAGGGAAGGTGCAGATAACTGGAACTTTCAACTCCTACCCACTGTCGCCACTCCACCCTGAACAGTTTCCCCTCACCTGGTTCTATTTATTTAGAATGTCTCACCCCGACCTGGTCAACTTACTCGCCTCACTCTGGTCCTGGCCCTGATCTGTCAAGGTATTTTATACGCTTTATTCTGTTGTGTTTTCACATAATATTCCCTTGGGAAAGAGCTCTGCATGGTTATTGGTCATGGTGAGCAGGTGTGTGTGTTTCAGGGAACTGAAGTCTACTGACCTAGAAATTCTCCATACCCGGCCAAATGTCTTGGACATGTATCCCAATGGTCCCAAAATATTCTGCAAGGTGTATGTCAGTGGTTCTCTTAAGTGTGGACCCCAGACCAGCAGTACCAGCAGCACCTCGGAACCCGTTAGAAATGCACATTCTGAGACCTAAGCCAGACCTACTGGATCAGCATCCCTGCGGTTCAGGCCGCTGTTCTGGGAAGTTGTTCTAGTTAAATATTGGCTTTAGAGATTTGAACGCATTCTAAAGCACACATGATTAGACATATCCCATACAGATAATTTCCCTGGAAGGCGGGTCCAATCTAAACGACTACTGGTTCGTCCAACAGATTGCGGGGTTGTAAACTTTATCGATTCCAAACTGTAGAGTATTTTGGAATGACTTCACAATTTGGGTTCTTATGCAAAGGTCAACTTCATTCAAGGAGATTATTTTTTAAACCAACATTTATCAAGAGGATGCTCTTGAACTAGCCTATTATTTGCTTGGGTTGACAATGAATGCATTATATCCCTTAGTCCTCACGATAACACTTTGTGGTGGGTACTGTTATTACTCTCATTTTGCCAATGAAAGAACCAGGGTATAGATTTTTAAACTTTCCTATTATTACATAGCTAGGAAGGGGTGGCAGAACGTTAATTTCAGTCCAGGTCATTCTGATTCCAGAAACTCTCTCACTTATGTTGTGGAAACACTAAGACACTTTTGTGGACCATTTAGTGGAGAAAGCTTTACAGAAGTTTAAAGGATGTTTAAAAGGATACAATTGTAAAATTTAAAATAGTACATATAAGGTCTATATATTCTATAACAACAGATCTGGGTAAAGAGGGGAAAAGACTTGAAGTATTACAAAGATAATATTAAAATAAACAAAGAAATCATTTATATAAACTCAAATTATACAGACCTTGAACTCAATTATATAAAAATTCATTTTTTATAAAAGCAGAAAGTAGGTCACAAAATGGACTTATTGTTGATGTCTATAGTGACATTTTTCTTGCTATTTTTCTGTATCTTCCAAACTTTCTTCCAGTATGTAATCTTTTTTAAAAATTACTTTTTGAAGTAAATAATATTTTACATAGTGATAAAAAAAATCTATAAAATCATTGTCTCAAGAGGCTGTACAAATTGAAAATATAAACAGGTTTTTACTAAGAATTGGTTAAATTAAAACTGCTAATCACCTAATATATATAACTATATTAAATATATTTAACTATATTAAATATATTTAACAACTCCAATATATGTATGTTACATATACATATATAAAATTAGACACAGAAATCTATATATCATGATAGCTACCTGGTACGTACAGGGGTACTGTTAAATTTTATGTGAGCCACAAATAATTAAATATGACCTCTTTTCCCAAGAGCTTCCAAAGCAAAATTGGAAGATAAAACATATCTCCTCCCAAACACCTCCCAAGAGAAGGATGTAGGTACTCTGTATTCAAGGACTGTCCCTCTGCCAGAACATCAGCTATAAGAGGGCAAGGACTTTGGTTCTTGTATCCTTAGCATCTAAAACAGTGTCTGGCATATAGCAAGTACTCAGCAAGTGTTTACTGAATGGATGTGTGCATGCATGGATGGATAGATATATAATACGGTTAGTAAGTACTCGAGGATTTCAGTAAACATGCACATCCAAATTGGGTCAAATCATGATGGAAATGAAATTTTTAAACGTTATATGGAGGCAATCTATGAAGCTGATTGGTGACATTCTACAAAATATCCAATGGTATCACATTCTGTAATGGTTAATTTTAAGCAATAGTTTGACTGGGTCATGGAGTGTCCAGATTTTGGTCAAACATTATTCTGGGTCTGTCTTTGAGGGTGATTTTGGATGACAGTAACATTTAAATTGGTAGACTAAGGCAGTTTACCCTCCCTACCTAAGGTAGATGGCTCTTATCCAGTCATTGGCTTGAATAAAACAAAAAGACTGACCCTCCCCAAGAGTGAAGAATTCTTCCTGACTGACAGCCTTCAAACTGGGACAAGGGTTTTTTGGTTTTTTTTTCCCCTTGTATTCAGATTTGAATTGAAAAATCATCTCTTCTTTTGTCTCCAACTTGCCAGTTCATCCTGAAGATATTGACACTTGCCAACTTCCATAATCACATGAGCCAATTCTTTATAATAAATCATGTATATATATGAATATACCCTATTTTATATATATATATATACACACACACACAAACACACACACAGACACACACACATATATCCTATTATATCTACCTCCTTTTGGCTCTGTTTCTCTGGAATACCCTGAGTAATACACCATTGTAGACTGAATTCTAGATGGAGAAATGGTCTAACCAGAGTGACATCTACTATGTTCCCATGCTGTATGTATACTCAATCTCACTGACGTCTCCTTTGCCTGCTATCAGGGATTCTTGGAGTTCTCAATAAGTAAAAGTTGATGAAGAAAGTCAAAACGGTAATTATTCTACAAATAGCTTTTGAAACAAAACTTCTTAGCACCTTTCGTCAGTGATCTTGAATTGGGCAATTTACTTAATTATGATTCATCAAGAAACTTACTTTTGTTTAAAAAAAAGAAATTATTGGGTGCTTGGGTGGCTCAGTTGGTTAAGCATCTGCCTTCAGCTCAGGTCGTGATCCCAGGGTCCTGGGATCGAGTCCTGCATCAGGCTCCCTGTTCAGCGGAGAGTCTGTTTCTCCCTCTACCCCCCAACCCGCCTTGTGTGTGCTCTTTCTCTCTCTCTCTCTCACAAAAATAAACAAAATCTTTAAAAAATAATTTCAAAAAATTTAAAAAATAAAAAAATAAATCAATTTATCATCCAAGATCACTTATCATCTTTTTAAAAAAGGTCATTTTCAAAACATTCAGAAACATATAAAGAAGAAATGAAAATCCTAATAGAAAATGGGCAAAGGTTATAAATAAGAAATTCACAGAAAAAAGATGGAAAGAGCTCGCTAAAAACATAAAGATGCATAAACTCACTCATAATTATGCAAATACAAATCAAAACACAAAAAGACACCAGCTTGAACCGATCACACTGGCAAAAATTAAAAATCTCCATAATATCAACATGTATAGAAAGAGATATTCTCATTGACTGCTTTTTAAAAAATTTTTTTTAAAGATTTATTTATTTATTTGAGAGAGAGAGAGAGAGAAAGAACACAAGTGGGAGGGGCGGAGGGAGAGGGAGAAGCAGACTCCCCAATGAGCTCAGAGCCTGACTTGGGGCTCCAGCTCACCACCCTGAGATCATGACCTGAGCCAAAACCAAGAGTCTGATGCTTAACCGACTGAGCCACCCAGGCGCCTCCTCATCCACTGTTGATGAGATATTCTTTAAGAGGAATAGATGGCACCACCTAGTTTAATTAAAAATTCACAATACCATTTGACACAGCTACTGTCCTGTTAGAAATTGGCCCTACAGATATACTTACAGAAGCGTGTCAGGGTTAGACAGTGCAGTCATATTGTATTAGCTAAAACCAAAACAACCCCTCACCCCCACCAACAACCTAAATATTTTCCAGAAAGCTAATGCTTACATATACAATGTATGTTTATTTATAAATAATGTAATACTGAACAGGCATTGAAAAGAACGAAGCATACTGAATTTGTTGTTATGAAAACAGACCTAAGATTTGATTCAGTCTATGATGATGTATTAGGCTTCTCCAGAGAAACAGAACCAATAGGAGGTAGACAGATAGAAAATGGGGAGGGGAGGACTGATTTATTATAAACAGACCAAACAAGGTGTCAGTTTATGAAAAATAATCCCATTTGTATACTTAAAAAGAATAAATATACACATACATGAATAAATAAATAGAGGCAGTCATGTAAATCAATAGATGCACAAACTTTCTAGAAGCATACATTGAAAACTATTATTAGGGATTACTTTAGGAAAAGAAAATTAGCTATTGAGTGGGAAGAGGAGAACATCTATTTTATAACTTTCTTTATAGTATTAATATTTAATTATGTATACAACTTTTATCTTTAAGTGCCAATTTTAAAAGAAAGCAGAGCAAATCCTATCCCCACCTGATTCTTCCAAGTAATGCTTAATAATTGAAGAAACTCCTTGAGGTGCCACAAAGTTATAGTCTCCTTCTTTCATCACCATCCCTTCAATAGGAGAGGTCAGAGGCTTCAAAATGCCAAGAGCTAACAGGTCATCATAAAAACTGAAATAAATCAATATATATGATATAATTATATACCACAATCAGTTAGCTTAAAAACACTGTATTCTCTTCCAAGAATTCTTAGAGATTATTATTCTAAATAACTGGAAATCTTCATATGGTCAACTCAATGTATGTTTCGTGTTAATAAAACATAATTCAGTAGAGCATGTGACTCTTGATCTTGGGAGTCGTGAGTTCAAGCCCCACATGGGGCCTAGAGCGTACTTCAAAAAATTAATAAACCATAATTCTGGTGAAGAACAGAAACGTTTTGAGAATCCATAAATCTTTTGCTGACATTAGCTGAAGGCCTATTTTCTTGTATCTCTCAAAATTAAAGGTCAGTGAAGACAGAAAGGTATGCAGTCCACCCATTTTCAATTTGGTGAAGACTGACTAGCTGTCTCTTCCTCAACACAACACAGTAATTCCTATTTAAATTGAGCCCTCAGGATGTAGCATTTCAGGTGATCTTCAGGACCACACCACGAGGTAGGACTCCCTACCTCTTACTGCTAATGCCATCAACAATGATAATATTATTTATATCTTCACTATATTACAAGAAGCAAAGTGTCACCCTGTGGATGATTTCTACCTTTTTACATCCTACAGTCACCAAGAATGATTCCTCCCCTTTCAACTAACTCACCTTTGGTGTTGCTTGGCATAATGAGGTGTGCAGGTGATGTACTGGGCACCCAAGTCAACTGTGCTCTGTGGATTGTAGGGACTCCTGGCTGTAGTCATTCTTCCCCCTTGGATTCATTCACAGGAAACATCTTAGTGCATCAGAATGAAACCTTCTGCAATTCACGCCTCGATTATTCACCTCAGGTTAGGCCAAATGGATTATGGCTGTATTTTTTAAAAAAGGACTTTGTTGAGCTTTTCTGGTTTAGTTTTGGGCTTTGTCCTCTACCACTGCCAGGAAGTAGTTCACAGAGACAATTTGGTCACCGTGAGGTGTTTTTAAAGAGGACACACAAAGAGTGCGGCGGTGTTCAGCGCTGTGCCTAGCCCCTGGATTCACACATTTAAACAAAAGGAATGGGTGCATGGATAACATAAAACGAAATAACGCCAAGAAATGTCAGAATGAATCACTCTTGCAATCGGGTTTCCTGAGAAAAACAGGAGTCTGTAAACTAGATCTTCGTCCTGATCCAAGGGTACTTAGGGATCCTCCCGATGTGAAGGCAGTGAAGGCACGGCCAGACCAAGATAAAAGCCCGCTGACCAGCGGTGGTGGCGAAAGCCCCAAGCTGGGCAAACTGCCAGAGCTCCTTGCAGGCGCTGAGCGACCCTGAAGCAGGGGGAGGGGGTGGGGGGTGGGGGGTGGGCCTCCTCCCGCTCCCCGCCCCCCCACCCCCACTCCTCCTGCCCAGGGCTCCTCCTGCTCCCCCGGAACTTGACTCGGGCTCCCTCTCCTCCTGCCCTCCTCCTCCTACCCGGGGCTCCTCCCTCCTCCCTGACCCCGCGCAGGGCTCCTCCCGCTCCCCCGCCACTCCTCCTGCCCGGGGCTCCTCCCGCTCCTCCTGGACCCTGACCCAGGGTCCCTCTCCTCCTGCTACCCCCTCCTCCTGCCCGGGGATCCTCCCGCTCCTCCCGGACCCTGACCAGGGCTCCCTCTCCCCCTGCTCCCACTCCTCCTACCCCAGGCTCCTCCCTCCTCCCTGACCCCGCGCGGGGCTCCTCCCGCTCTCCGCCCACCACCCATCTTCCTGCCCTGGGCTCCTCCCGCTCCTCCCGGACCCTGACCAGGGCTCCCTCTCCCCCTGCCCTCACTCCTCCTACCCCAGGCTCCTCCCTCCTCCCTGACCCGCGCGGGTCTCCTCCCGCTCTCCGCCCACCACCCATCTTCCTGACCGGGGCTCCTCCCGCTCCTCCCGGACCCTGACCCGGGGTCCCTCTCCCACTGCCCCCCCTCCTCCTACCCGGGGCTCCTCCCTCCTCCCTGACCCCGCGGGGGGCTCCTCCCGCTCCCCTGCCACTCCTCCTGCCCGGGGCTCCTCCCGCTCCTCCCGGATCCTGACCCGGGGTCCCTCTCCCCCTGTCCCACCAACTCCTACCCAGGGCTCCTCCCTCCTCCCTGACCCCCGCGCGGGGCTCCTCCCCTCCCCGCCCACCCACCCCTACTCCTCTTGCCCGGGCCTCCTCCCTCCTCCCGCTCCTGACCCCGCGCGGGGATCTTCCCACACCCCCTGCGCCCCCCCTTCTCCTGCCCGGGGCTCCTCCTGCCCCCCCCCTCCCTGCCCCGCGGGGCTCCTCCCACCGCCCCGCTCCCCGCGCGGCGCCGGGGTCACCGCCCACTCCCGCCCGCCTCGGGCCTTTCCGGGGATCTGGAGGCTCCGGGCACGTGACCGGGCGCGCACCAAGCAGGTCGCCGCCGGGAGGTGCCTGCCGCGGTGGCTGGATTCTCCCACAGACCTCCCGGGGTGGGCCGCCCCCAGGCGCCGGCTTCCTTTCCCAGGTTTCGACCGCCCGACGACCCACCTGAGTCCCCAGCCTCGTCCCACACCGCGAGGTGCACAGGACGGGGCGCCTCCTTCCTGATCAGCGCTGCGCACAGGCTTCCCGTCAGCCCGGCGCCCACGATGAGCACCCGCGCCATGGCCCGGGGTCTAGCGGCGAGGCCGCGCCCCGCTCTCGGGCTCCGCGCTCCAGGCCCGCCCCGCCCGCGCGCAGCCCCGCCGGCCGGCCTGCAGGGGGCAGACGGGAGGCGAGCGCGCCGCGGTTGGGGGCCGGGCCACGCCCGGGTGCTCCGGGGACCCTGGCCGCCCCTGGCCTCGCCGAGCGGGTCAGGGATGCAGGATGGAGCGTGGGAGCACCGCCCCCCACCCCCGGCTGGAGCCGCTGCGGGCGTGACACCCCAGTCCGGCAGTGCGCGGGGAGGGCTCGCACCCGCGAGGCCCGGAAGGCCGCTGCTCACCTCCTCCAGAAGCACGTGCGAATACCGGGGCGGTCCTCAGACTGGCTCCGAGCTCTGTGGCTGTCCTGTAACCCTGAGCCTCTCAGTTTCTCCATCTGCGAAATGGGAACAGTAACATCAGCGTGTCAGATCTGTGACGATTGCGGTGGTTTGGTTCACGAGAAAGCTTGAGATCACTCAGCTCTTCAGTAAATATTTCTAGGTCGGAACACATTCCAAATGCTCTCAGGGATATAAAGATGAGCAAGACAAGGTTGCAGGCCATTCTCACTGGTTGGTTTCCCCCCAACATTGTCCTGGAAATTCTCAGTGAAACAACAAAAAGCATTGAGAACTATGAACTATTAAAAAATAAAGGATTCAATTACCCTAGATTGTAGATAAATTATCACCTGGAAGGTTAGAGAAACTGGGTAGCTATGAGAAGTGCTAAGAAAGTTGACAATGGTAGACAATGTAAACATTTAAAAATTAGTTTTACTTTATGTCCCCGTCATAAAAAATTACCATACATCAAATTGGTGATGGATCAATATTACATATATCTGATAAAAGACAAGAAAATATAGATGAATTATAGCCTGTAAAAAGACATAAAAATAAAAGATGGAGCTGAACAGAAAAACATTAAATACATAGTTATTTACAGCTTGTATGTTACAAAATGCACAGGACAAAATATAAATAGTGAGCAAACTGGAGTACAGTTTGATAATGTATGTAAAGCCCTAAAACTGTGTCCTTTAAATGAGACATACCAAGTCTAGACATTTATCTTGGGAAAATAATAGGTAGATATACATTAACATTTACATAAAAATGTACTTACCTCAATGTTATTAGAAACGTTGAAGTCTACAACCAACAGGGATTTAGTTGATTTGATTATGGCTATCCAAACTTCTTAATGAAGCTACTAAGAAAATATGGCTTTAAATGTTTAAGAATGTATAGAAAATTACTCATTCTATAATGTTGAAAAACTGGCTACAAAACTAGTAAAATCCCAGAGTTCTGTAAACATATGCAGAGACAAGTACATATGCAGTATTAGAAAGTCGAGAGGAAACAGATGTATTTACATTTTTCTATTAATTTCAAATGTTTTAGAAATTCCATATATATCTCCCTAATTTATTTATTTTTATAAGCAAAATAAAGCTGGTATGCTAGACAAAAGAAGTTAATCAATCCCTGCCTTAAAGCTGTTTATAGTCTAAGAGATTTCACAACCACATTCTAAAAATCTCAGAATTGGAAAGGAGATTTGAGGTAATCTATTTCGACTGCCCTCTGCCACCAGCATTTTACATAATGTAAATATAGACACTAAATTAAAGTGAGTTTGCCCAAGTTTACACAGTATCTCAAGGAGGAGATCAGGGCACGTCCTCCTGGATTGTTTTGAGTCTGTTCTGCTCGTGTCCACCATCTCCTGCTTCCTCATTTCTTGTATAATCAGGCCTAAAACCTCATGGTCATCTTCAGTAGCTTCTCTTTTCCCACTCTTGTTAACTGTTAGTCCTCTGGTCTTTTTGACCTCTTCTCCTCTGTCTCTTGTATTCAATCCCATGCAATTCTACACCAGTAAAATCCAGCTTTACTTTTTTTTTTGAGAAAGAGAGCATGGGTGGGGAGGGGCAGAGAGGCAGGGAGAGAGAATCTCAAGCCGACTCCATGCTGAGCTCGGAGTCTGACTCAGGGCTCAGTTTCATGACCCTGAGATTGTGACCTGAGCTGAAATCAAGAGTGGGACGCTTAACCAACTGAGCCGCTGAGGTGCCCCAAGCAGTCATTACTTTTTTTTGTTTGTTTGTTTATTTGAGAGAGAGAGAGCACGAGAGGGAAGAGGGTCAGAGGGAGAAGCAGACTCCCCGCTGAGCAGGGAGCCCGATGTGGGACTTGAT